AAAAAATTGAGCAACTTGACAACAACCGACAAACACCGCCCTCACTTTTTTTATTTAAAATTCATTCAAAAATTGAAAACAAAAATCAAAATTTAATTGAATTTTGAATGTTACACGAAATAAAAACAACCATAACATTGATTATCATTATCATTGCCTCCGGTGTTTGACAATTATCATCAACTTTTAATTTTTTTGTTTTTCTGGTTTTTGTTGGATCACGAACCAGGAAAATAAACTAATTTTCCCAATTGGTTTGACAATTTTTTTTTTGGTTGTAAAAATTGATTTTTTTTTTCGCTTAAAAAAAACAAAATTTTCAAATCAAAATTTCCTAAAAATGAAATATCATCATCATCGTTGTTGTTGTCATCATCAATTTGATTGTCGATTTGGGACCAAACAAACAGCAAAACAAAAACAAAAATCCAATAATTCCGAACGACTTCTTACTACATTTATATCGTTTTTTTCCTAGCAAAGATTTTCTCTGTTTTGTTGTTGTTTTCGGTAATGATAATGTCATGACGCCTTGGGATGTTGTCGTTTGTTGATTATTATTGCTGTTTCGAACAAATTCCCTATATTCTTCTTTCTCCATTTTGATGATGATTCTCATTATTGTTATTGAGAAAAGAACAGGACAACAAACAAACAAACAAAAAAACAAGCAAGAAAATCTTCACACAAACACTTAAATGTAACAAACTTTCGATTTTTGTATACATTAAATATGATAATGATGATTATTGGAGAAAATTTTTCATTCAACTTGACAAAAGATACATTGTTTTGTTTTTGGGTTCGTTCAATGATCATCATTGTTTGAGTCGAAATAGTCAATAATAAGGATTGTTGTTTCTGAATATTTAACCAAAAAAAAAGCCACAAACTTTTGCTTTTCCAAATGACATTTTTTTTCTCTTCATTTGAATGAAATTAAATCAATTTTTTTCGTTTGTTTGTTTGTCTGAGAATCTAATTTCATTTTGACAATGTTTTGAAACAAAATTAAAAAGTTTTTTTTGAGAACAAGCAAGTAACATGTACATATTGTCAACACCGAATAATAATATCCACAGATTCTAAACTAAAGAATTTTCTCCTCATTTAGATTCACTACATTACATTGTTTTTCTCTCAGTTTCTCATTCTCACACACACACTTATGGATGTGTNAAAAAATTGAGCAACTTGACAACAACCGACAAACACCGCCCTCACTTTTTTTATTTAAAATTCATTCAAAATTGAAAATTGAAAAAATCAAAATTTAATTGAATTTTGAATGTTACACAAAAACAACCATAACATTGATTATCATTATCATTGCCTCTGGTGTTTGACAATTATCATCAACTTTTAATTTTTTGTTTTGTTTTTCTGGTTTGGATCACGAACCAGAAAAATAAACTAATTTTCCCAATTGGTTTGACAATTTTTTTTTGTTGTAAAAATTGAATTTTTGTTTTTTCGCACAAAAAAACAAAATTTCAACGATTTTCAAATCAAAATTTCCTAAAAATGAAATATCATCATCGTTGTTGTTTTGTTTTTGTTGTCATCATCAATTTGATTGTCGATTTGGGACCAAAAAACAACAAAACAAAAACAAAAATCCAATAATTCCGAACGACTTCTTACAACATTTATATCGTTTTTTTTTCATAGCAAAGATTTTCGTTTGTTTTGTTTTGTTTCGTTGTTTTCGGTAATGGTAATGTCATGACGCCTTGGGATGTTGTCGTTTTTTGATTATTATTGCTGTTTCCCTGTATTCTCCTTTCACCATTTTGATGATGATTCTCATTATTATTATTGAGAAAAGAACAGGACAACAAACAAACAAAAAACAACCGAGAAAATCTTCACACACAAACAAATGTAACAAACTTTCCATTTTTATAAATATGATAATGATGATGATTATTGAAGGAAAGATTTTTCATTCAACTTGACAAAAGATACATTGTTTTGTTTTAGGGTTCGTTAAATATACAATGATGATGATCATCGATTAAGTCGAAATAGTCAATAATAAGGATTGTTGTTTCTGAATATTTATAACCAAAAGAAATGCCACAAACTTTTGCTTTTTCAAATGACATTTTTTCTCTTCATTTGAATGAAATTAAATCAATTTTTTGTTTGTTTGTTTGTCTGAGAATCTAATTTCATTTTGACAATGTTTTGAAACAAAATTAAAAAGTTTTTTTTGAGAACAAGCAAGTAACATGTACATATTGTCAACACCGAATAAGATTCTAAACTAAAGAATTTATTCCCCATTTAGATTCCCTTCATTACATTGTTTTTCTCATTCTCACACACTTTTATGGATGTGTGACATTCCAAATTTTTTTTAATGATTCTGACCATTTTTAATAATAATAATAATAAAGTTGTCAAGTTGTTTCGTCAGGTTTTTATTTTCCGTTATTGTTGTTGTTGGTTCTACATTCCATTCTTATTTGTCAACAACAACAACTATACTTTTCCATCTCTCTCTCTCGGTATTTTCATTCACTGTCACCCTGTATTGTATGTTATTGTCAATTTTAGCTGTTGTTGTTGTTGTTTATATCAACCGACCATTCGTTTTAACAAAAAGCCCAGAGAACTGAATAATGAAATTATCGAGAATCAAGTAGGCCACATTGTTCCACACACACATCTGCTTTTAACACTGGCTGTCATAAAATTTGAATGGTGGATTAATTAAATTTTATGTTTTGAACACTGAAAAAAAAATTAAAATAATGTATGCTTGATTGGCCCATTTTTATTCAAAAAAAAAAAAAAAAAAAAAAAAAAAAAAATGGNATCTCTCTCTCTCGGTATTTTCATTCACCCTGTATTGTATGTTATTGTCAATTTTAGCTGTTGTTGATGTTTATATTCCATTCGTTTTAACCAAAAGCCCAGAGAACTGAATAATGAAATTATCAAGAATCAAGTAGGCCATTGTTCCAAACACATCTGCTTTTAACACTGGCTGTCATGAAATTTGAATGGTGGATTAATTAAATTTTATGTTTTGAACACTGAAAAAAAAAAATTAAAATAATGTATACTTGATTGGCCCATTTTTTAATTCACAAAAAAAAATGGCAGCAAGTTTATTATAGCAACCAATCCAACCCAAACAAACTCATCAAAAACGATAGTATGGTTGGTTGATATTAAGTGGTTCGTTTATTATTATTATTATGATATAACCCTTTTTTTCAACATCGATGGCTAATAAAATACAAGTGTGGATGGATCATAATGATAATAAATAATAATGACCCAATTTTGTTTTTAAAAAAATTGTTAATTTGTTGTTGTTGTTGTAGTCTTGGAAACAACAACAACAACAACAAATTCATTATAGAATCATATCAAGTGTTAAATTGAATTCCAAAAAAATAGTTGATGTTGTCTCATTTATTGTCTCACGATTTTTCATTCATTCAATCCAAATGAAAATGAATTGAAACCAAAGAATCAATGACAGAAAAAAACTAAAAAAGAAAAAAAAAGAATATTATTTTTGATCATCATTATCATCGTTGGGATAATAATAAATTTTGACAGCCAAAACAAAAAAAAAATTTTTATTTCATTTCATTTTGGTTCAAAGATTTCAATTTCAGAAAAAATCCATTCATCCGTTCCATATTGCTAGTATAGTAGTTTTCCTTCTTTCCATTCTTTCGTTTTCTTTCTTTCATTCGTCATGATTTATTTCCATTTTTATTTCTCAATGTCTGTCTTTTTTTTGATTTGATAATGATGATGGTCATATTAACAACAACAACAACAACAATTTATAAAGTTTGAGTGAAAAAAGTTTAAGAAAAATGGATTCTGTTCATTTTTTCAAGAAAAAAACAGTATCAAATTAATAACATCACATTGGGAGAAAAAACTTTCCATTAAATTTATTTTCTTTTTCTTTTCGTTTCTCTACATTTACAGAATTTGAAAATTTATATAAATGATGCGTTTACAGCAACAACATTTTACACCAGTTACCAAACAACAGCAATCGATTCAATCATCTCCATACGTCGTTAATTCATCATCATCAACAACAACATTGTTAAAAAAGAACAATAACGGTGAATTAGATTCAAGTTGTAGTACGAATGGAAGTTCAAAATCAACAAGTTCAATATCGGCTGTAATACAGCCTGATTCTTCATCATCGCCATCAACAGCGTTTTTATTGACCAAAAGTGACCAAAGTTCATTCAGAAAATTTCCATTAAATTCTGCTAATCAGCAACAAGAAAAAGAAAAATTTTCAATGCATCCAATCAATTCACAAGCAATATCAACATTGCAACGTTTTCAACAACAACAACAACTAATGGGTACGCCTACTAATAGTTCAAATAATCGTCGTACAACAATGTATCGATTAAGTTCATTTAATGAACAATCATCATCATCACCACCAGGATTATCATCTGCAACAAATAATAATGTAGGAGGCGATTTGACAAATGAACCATTACCATTAATGACACCAACATATGAATCGATTGATGTTAATAATTTAATCGATAATAATACAAATACAACTAATCAAACTGCCGCTAATTCAAGTCAAGGAACAAGTGATGGTGGACATTGTGAAGAATCAACAACAACAGCAACAACAACAACAAATGGTTGTATGTCGGATAATCCTACGGTTACTATTCCGGATAATCATCGTTTATTTGCTGGATCTTCTAGTCATCATCATCATTATAATCGAAATACAAGTTCAATAATGCCAATGAGTGGTATAATGACACCATTTACATTTGGACATCATCATAATCATAATCATCATCAACAACTTCTTCATAATCATTATCCATTTACATCAAATATAGGTGGTTATTTAACACGTTCATCACATTATTATTATCATAATCCGGATTATTATCATCATCAATATGGATTACACAATGTACCAATGTCATCATCATCATCATCACCACCATTATTATATGTTGGACATAGTGGTGGTGATTGTGATGATATTGATGATACACGAAATAGCTTATCATTCCATCCATCATCAACAGTAACAGTATCACCATTCAACAACAACAATAACCACATCAAAGATGAACAAGATTTTGATATATTCAATGCTATATTTGCCTTAATATCATTAATGTTATATTGTTGTTGTTCAGGTTCAACATTAATATTAGCATATTTTCTTTGGCGTCATGAACAAGATTGGTTATTATTTTTATTAACTATTTTTGCTACATTAATACCATCAATTATTGTTAATATTATTTCATTAAAATGGTAAGTTTTATTTCTTTTTTTGTTTCAGACGAAAACACACGAAAAAAATAACCCCACTTGAAGATGATTTCCATTGACAAAATCAACAAATAAATAACCAACTTGACAATGGAAAAGAATGATTTCATTTTGATTTGTTTTTTTGTTTCTCTACTTTGGTAATGATTTTCGAGTAGCTTTTTCATTCTGTACACATTTTGGATTAGTATCGCTTCAATGATCAGACCTTTTTTTTACTTCTTCTTCTTCAATTTTCAGTTCCTGTTTTTCATTGAAAAAATTCCTTATTCTCAATGATGACTCAATCTATTTTTTTGAATGGACCATTTGGTTTTTATATGGCCATAATAACAATAATAGTGTGTTTTTTGTGTTCGACAATTAATCACCAATTGAACAGAATTTGGCTAGTTTGTTTGACTGGTTGAATGAATTGTTTTTCATAAACTGAATAAGTTAGTCAGAAGAAAGTCTATACCAAGTTCATTTACGATTTTTGATTCGTTTTGTTTTGCTGTTTTGCTGTTTGTTACTGTGTGTTATAGCCAAAATGTTAATATAAAAATAAAATGGCTGATTTCCCTTTTGTATTTCTGCATATTATACAGAAAAGAAATGAAGTTCCATTAAATTGATTTCTCTCTTTATTTAGTCGTTTTATATACAATCGTTTGACGAAATAAACTGTGTGTGTATAAGCTTAATTGATCAATTTTTGAATGGGCAATTCTGTTTTGTTCGGTTTGTTTTCTTTCTCTGTTTTTTGTTGCACGAGTCATAAGCATAGAATCAGAATCAAAATAACAACAACAACAAAATAATAAAAATAGCTAGATTTTCGACTATAGCGCTAGTTAATTTGATTTCAATTGCTATTCTTGTGAAGCTGGTGAATAGTGAAACTACACAGAGATAGAGAAACACAGGGTTAGATATTCAATAGAATCGGGAATGAATAGAAAAAAAAACCACTATTTACAAATGCTATCTACGAAAGTGATCTGCTATTATATAATTTTTTTGGATTCTGTTGTGGAATAACAACAGCAGAAAACACATTACAGTCTTTTGTTTTCATTCCCCCTTGTTTCGTTTTTGGCTTGTAGAGTGAATTTTTTGGATTGCATTTTTATTGTTATTTGAAACAAAATCCCTTTTTTTCTATTGTCGTCAAAAAAAAGCAAAAAAAAAAATCCTATGATAATAATGATGAAGCAATGGAGACAACAAAAAAAAAGAAACAAAATATTGAATCCATTCTCACAAAAATGTTTCAATGAATAGAGACAGAGAATATTGGCCTTTTTTCATCATAGAAAGCTTTTTTTTGGCTAGAAAAAGAGATAAAGAACAAAAAAAAACAACCAAGTTGGCTGGTGAAATGAAGAAAACAAAACCCGGGTAAAACAAAAATAACAATAAAAATAAATGAGCTTTGAATCTCCTCAACAAAATGAAATGATGATGCTAAAAAACTCTATGTGTATTGGATTTGGATTTCTTTCCCAACCGAACAAAAAAAAATTCAAAACATTCGAAATGATGAACGATTATATCGATTGTTTCAAAAAAAAAACAACGAGAACAAAGAGATGGAAAATGATTGTTTTGATACCAGAAAGAAAAGATTTTTTTAAAAAACCAGATAGGAATTAAGTTTTTTTTGAATAAAATGTTTTCAATGATTTTTCTTGAGAAGAAGAAAATCTCCGTTTAATCACAGCAAATTTATTGATCATTTTTTTCTGTAAAAGTTTTTGGTTTTGGCAAGAAAAATAAATTGTAACTGATTTGACCAAACAAACAATTTTGTTGTTGTTTTTGTTGTTGTTGAAAATTGACAATCAAAATCGAATCGAAATCCGAAAAAAAGTTATATTCAATTTGAAACACCAAATGTCACCACCACCGAAATTCGGGAAAAGATGATGGTAACTACGATGATGATGATGATTGGTCATTATCATCAGCTGTTGTATTTTTTGAGCGTAAAGTTTGTTTTTTTTCAACAATTTTATTACTTTTGGAGAAAAACTTTCGATTCAAAGAAAAACAAACTATCAACTTTTTTTCACAGAAAACAAAAATTACTAATTACTTTTTTTTGGTTGTAATTTCAAATCGAATATTTTTGAAACAGAAGCGGAAATTTTTTCCTCCTAAACTGAAATAAATCTTTGTCAAAGTTTTGTGTTAATCTCTTATCTCTCTTGTTTCGGGTTTGTTCACAAACAAAAATGGAGTGAAAATTAAATAAATAAATAAAGTGAGTTTTTGGAAAATGAGATTTTTTGCTTCAAACGATCCATCCAAACATCCAGAAATGCATGGTGAAGAGAGAGAGAGCGAGGTCAAATGTGATTCATCTTTGTTTTTCACATTCACCAAAATAATCGAACGAAAAGAGGAAAGAAAAATCGATTGTTTTTTCGATAGTTTCAATTTCGGCAATTTAATTCTTGAAATTCCGTTCTGGTTCTGGTCAATCGATCGATTGATTGTTCGATGATATATCCATCAACGATTCTCAGACTTGTTTCAAACGCCCTTATTGTTGTTGTTGTTTTTCGATCTATTAGAATCTCGACAAACAAACAAACAATCAAACAGTGTTGGAGAGCTAAAATGAGAGAAAATCAATTGAAAAACAAGAATCTAAAATGAAGAAGAAAGAAAATAGTTTTTCGATCATTCTCTCTCTCACTCTTCAATTAATCAGTTTCCAAGAAACTTTTCCAAGAAAAAAACTACAAGAAATGATACCGCATATGGATGAATGAATAAGTTTTCTCCGAAAATTGGTTGAGGGGATAAGCTTTATTATTAATGAAAGTTTTTCGGTTATTCGGTTATTCAGATGAACAAAAAAAAAAACATTGTTTTCACTATAGAGATCCATTCTGCTTTTATCATTATCATCATCTAAGTAAATTATATTCAGTTCATTAATTGTTTTGTTCAGTTTCAGTTTGATTGTTGTTCATTTGTTTTCGAATCAAATTCAGATGCCGCTATGAGAAAATGAATCAAACAAAAATATTCCAAACATATTTGGCTCGATCAAGATGATAGAGATTAGTTACACTATACCCGTATTTCGTATTCCAATATTGTTTGTTTTGTTTTGTTTTTTGTTTTTTCTTGCTTACTTGCTCATTTTCTTCTTCTTTTCATCAATGATATTTCCAACTTTTCTGTTTTCCTGCTTGCAAATGAATGAAGATGTTTTTTTCTCTTGAAGGTTCTTCGATAGAAAACAAAATAATGATAATAATCCTGATGAATAAGCAAAAAAATTCTGATCAAATTGACTTAATTGACCACTATATATTTTTTTATTTTGGGTAGCCATTAGTATTTAGTTGTTAGTTAGAAGTAGCTAAAAAAACTATAATAATAATGATAATCAATATCCTGAATTCAAAAAAAAAATGAAGAAATAGAATAATATTGAAAGCAAAGCAAAGTAAAAAGAATCTTGAATAACAGAATAACAGGAAAATAGAATTGTGAATGGTGAATCAAATATAGAATATAAATGTTGAAATTTTCTATTTCTCTTCTCGCTATTGATTGAACGAACGAACAAAGATCAATCATTAATATTTATAGAGATGGATAGATAGACCTGGAATCCATTTACTTTTCAGTAAATAACAGAATATTCTTTCATAACAGAATTTATATCAATTTTTTTTCGATTTTCTATATGTAAGATCATCATTTAATAGTCATAGGGAAAAAAATAATGCTTTGCCCTCTGATATGTGTCCAGAATTTATAATTGAATATTTTTTGTTACCAATGTTGGTCAATGTAAAACGAATACAATTTACTTGTTGTGTTTTTGGGTGATGAATTTTGTATTTTAATAAAAAATTTTGAATTTTTCTCTTGTTTCTTTGTATCATCGTTAGGTTATTGAATGACAATCATCGACAACAATATGAACAACAACAACAAAATAACAACAACATTTCAAATGGTGGAACATCAACAACAACAAATGAAACAACAACAACAACATTTTTTTTACGACGTCCAAATATTGGACCATGTGGTTGGATGTTTCGTATATTATTACACATTATACTATTGGGACCAGTTTTAAGGTGAGTTTTGTTTCTTCTTTCACTAGTCTATCGTTTGTTTCTCTTGCCTCTAGAGATATTTTGTCAAAAAAAAAAAATATTCATTGAATTGTGAATTGTAAATTACTTTTCTGACCGTTCTTTCGTGTGTTAAGATTGAAAAACAGTAACAGAATTTGTTCATTAATTTTCCTGACACGGTAACAAATTCAGAACATTCAATGATTCATCATGTATATTTTATTTTTTTTTTGTTCGTTTGCCTCCAATTTTGAGTATGATCTTTTAATATTTAATATTTGAATTACAAATTGGTTATTTTGCTTCTGTTCACAAAGAAAAAGATTTTTTTCCCTTTGATTTGCTTTTGTTTTCGGGGGACTTTTCACAAACCAAAAAAAAAGTTGAATTAAAATTCAGCCAAAATGCACAAAAGACGAAAATTTTCAATTCAAATTTCACCGACAACGAATGATGATGATGTTTTATGGTAATCACATTTTTTTGTTCAACAATCAAAAAGCAAAAATGTATGATTGTTTGATTGGTAAATGTTGTTTTTTTTCTGTTGATGCAAAAGAATTAACAAGGAGATGAAAAAAAGAATGTGACAAATCCAGATATATTTTTTGCTACATTTTTTTCAGTTTCTTTTTGGTTAATGCGGTTCCATTAAGTCTCGTTCAATCATCATCATCATTATTATTGATACAAAAAAAATGTTACGATTCGATTTGTGGATTGCATTAGTCCAGTGACAAACAAACGAATGTTGATTATGAGCTTGTACATTCTCGATTGCTTCTTCTTCATCATCATAATCGAAATCGAAAGCAGAAAAAAAACCCCAACCAACAAACAAACCATGGATTAATGCTTGGATGGGTTATTATTATTACATTGAGCAACAACAAGCCAATTGATATACAATCAATCAAAAAATACCCAAAAAAGAAACTTTCTTTCTTTCTTTCTTTCTCTCAATTCAATTAACATTTTTTCTTGTTGCCACTCAATTTACTGAATAAGAAGAAAAAAAATTATTCTGAAAATCTGATTTAGTAAAAAATCATCTTTTCTGTGAATAGAAATGAAATGAAATGAATGAATGAACAGTGTGCATATCATGTGGACAACAGTGGAAATTTTTTTTTCATTCAATGACAAATTATCAATGGAGAGAATAAAAAAAAGGTCGTCGTTCGTTTGTTTGATTTTGATATAGTTTCTGCCCATTGATGTTTGTTTGTGTTTGTGTGTGTGTGTGGTTTTCATGTCAATCAAAATTTGTCATCACTATAATGCCATCATATATATTAAATAAAGTGAATGATTTTGTTAACTTTTTCATTCATTCATTCATCCGTTCTCTCTCTCTCTCCATATATGATATATTACAAATGTCAGACAGCCAGACAAACAAACTGACCACTGTGTGAATGTTTTTATGTTTTTTTTCGGATAAAAATTGACAGATTGAAAGACACACAAACAAACAGACAAACATGATTCTTCTTTTTCTCCATTGACCATCTTTGATGTTATAATGGTGATGACCACTAACCAACCAACCAACCAAACATTTGGTCATTTCATTTTGGCTTGTTTTTCGTTATTTTTATTCTTGAAACATGAATCTTCTCTCTCTCTCTCTTGTGATGATAACATAACATGATTCCTGAAAAAAATGACACAACAAAACAAAACACGATGTTTTTTTTTGCGTTGAAACATCATTTTTTTCCAAACGAAAAAAAAGAAGAATTTCAGAATCCGGTTCATTATTATGTAAACAAACATCAATGAAGATGGTGATGAATAGAGAGAGAGAGAGAGAGAATTATAGTGATATTAAAATGAGATTTCATAACTTAACACAAACACATCCAATGCTAAACCACCCCCATAATAAATTCATTTTGAAGAAAATAAAAAGCAAGATAAAGCGATTTATATGATGATAAATAATCCAAAAAAATGGCAACACGAATCATCATCATTTGGAATTTTAGATGAAAAAAAAGGGAAAAAAGGAAATTGCCATGTAGCCAGAATATAAAAAAAACGTGACTACTTTTCTTTTCTATTTTATTTTCAATGCTGCTGACCAGAAATGACTGACTTCATAATAATTCACTTAAGGTTCCATCACAAAAAAAATGTAAAAAACAACAAATGAAAATGTATGAAAAGAATTATTAAAAAGCATTCATCAAATATGAAAAAAATGAAAATGAAAATAACTTTTTCTTCTTCGTCCTTTTTTGGAGATTGTATTTGAAAAAAAACAGGATTTCTTTCTTGTTGTTGTNCAAACATGATTCTTTTTCTCCATTGACCATCTTTTGATGTTATGATGATGATGACCACTAACCAACCAACCAACCAAACATTTGGTCATTTCATTTTGGCTTGTTTTTCGTTATTTTTATTCTTGAAACATGAATCTTCTCTCTCTCTTGTGATGATAACATAACATGATTCTTGAAAAAAATGACACAACAAAACAAAACACGATGTTTTTTTTGCGTTGAAACATCATTTTTTTCCAAACGAAAAAAAAAGAATTTCAGAATCCGGTTCATTATTATGTAAACAAACATCAATGAATATAGTGATATTAAAATGAGATTTCATATCGCTAGCTTAACACAAACACACATCCATTGCTAAACCACCCCCATAATAAATTCATTTTGAAGAAAATAAAAAACCAAGATAAAGCGATATATGAATGATAAATAATCCAAAAAAAAATGGCAACACGAATCATCATCATTTGGAATTTTAGATGAAAAAAAAGGAGAAAATAAAAGGAAATTGCCATGTAGCCAGAATATAAAAAAAACGTGACTACTTTTCTACTATTTTTTTTCTGACCATACTGACTGACTGAATGACTTTATAATAATTCACTTAAGGTTCCATCACAAATGTAAAAAATAAAAATGGAAAAATACACAGCGAACATGTTATACACACAAAAAAAACAACAAATGAAAATGTATGAAAAGAATTATTAAAAAGCATTCATCAAATATGAAAAGAAAAATGGAAATAAAACAACTTCTTTGCTTTGTGAATGAGATTAAATTATCTTTTTTTTTTCGAACGAAATTTTCTTTCACCGAAAACAACAAAAAATTTCAATTCTTGCTTCAATGGTTTCTTTTTTTCTCTGATTTCACACGTTTTTTTGTTCATATCTGGATTATTTAGCTAATAATATCCTTTGTGGTAATAAGAAGAATATTCCAGTGGATTCTGATGGATATTTGGCATGTTCCAAATATATATTCAATCCAATAGTTGAATGATGTCCATCGAGAATACCGATGATGATCATCATATAATTTGATGGTGATGCATAGTAGTCAATTTAAATAATCGATTGTCATTCACAACAAAAAAAGTATCAAATAAAATGTGCAAATTCAAATTCTTTCGTTCAAAACAAAATCAATATTTTGTCGTCGTTCAAGTGATCGAATAAAACAAAAAACAAGAATTTATTATTCTTATCTATTTATATCTTGGAATTCTACTTGAGTGGAAATAGAATAGTGTCTTTACATACGCGATTTACAAAAATGTTCGATTTTTACATTTATTATTTCATGTTGTAGTTTTTCTTTTTCTTCTTCTTCGTTTGAATTGATTGTATTTTCATTCATTTATATGAAAAAAACATAGAAAGAAAGAAAGACAAAATACAACGGAAAACAATCAAATCAAATGAAAAGTTGTATGATGTTAAATGAATGAATGGTGGAATGAAAGAAGAATAAAAGAATCTGAACTTGGAAATGGAATTAGCAAGTTGATTAATTTGAATTTGAATTTTTTCGTTGGGTTCCGAAGAAGAAATTCCGTTCTGTAGAGAGAATTTCGTTTTTCTCTCTTTCTCTCTCTCTATACTCGAATGTTTCAATTGAATTGAAATGACATTGGCTGTTCTTTATAATTTATTCTTATGAAATTTCTCTTTTTTTCTCTGGAAATACCATTCTTTTTGGTCTTCCGCTATCTCTCTCTGTGTCTAGTGTGATGGAAAGAAAAAAAAAATATTCGAAGCGAATCGATCGTCGAATAGATCAAGTTCATTTGTATTGTACCATAATTTGAAATGAGTTTTGTTTTTTTTTGTTCTTTATTATTCAATATTTGAATGAATATTTCAATTCGGAAGAAAAAAATTTCAAATCTTTTTTTGGCAAAAAACTAAATTGTCAAAATTCAATATCAGATCTACGAAAAAACCGGAAACAAGTCTTTAAGAACATTGTGCGAATATAGTGCGAATTCTCTTCTCGTTTCTTTTTGATTATTGCCAATTTTGACAATTTCTTTTTTTTTCTGGTCGACACAATGTAGATGCATGCACAATATTATTCACATTGAAATGTATCTCATTTCCTGTTGCAGACTGTTGTTGTTGTTGTTTGAAAAAAAAATTTCCTGTTTCATAATCAAAAATGATGCAAAATACAAGTAAAGGACTTTTCGTTGATTATAATAATTTCATTCAGCCAAATTCAGATAAGATACACTTAAATTTTTCTCAAAGTGTTTCGAAAAAGAGTAACCAAAAGAAGAAAAAAAAACGGTGTCGAAAACCCGGTGATGTTGCCCCCATCCAGTTTTTCAACCGGGTAGGGATCGTTTCAATAGTATCAGACATTTACCGTCAGTTTCCGACACCTAATATTATAATGTTTGATAAAATTGTTATTTATATTGTGTTCATTCGAGCGATACAAATCATTACGGTTTGTAACAAAAAAAAATTGATAACCTGATATCTTGATTAACTTGTGATAACAATAAATAAAAAAAAATTCAGCTATATACACATGTACATGCAGGTGTATGTTGGTGATATAGCTATGTGTATATTAAAAAAAAAATTTCGCTATTTCAATCTATATTTCACGAAATCATGAAATAGCCGAAATTGTTGTTGATGATGATTAACTAATAACAATAAAAAAAAATTTGCGGTCGGTTATTTCGATCATCATCATCATCATCATCATCATCACGGGTATAAATTTTCATTTAATCTTATTATGTATCTGTTGAGTATTATCCACAGACAAAAAAAAAAGCAATTATCAATGAATGAAAATGGCACCAAAATAAAATGAAAATTGGATTATTTCCGATCATCGTCATTTTTATATATTTTTGTTGGCAGTTTGTCATCATTATCGTCATTATAATAATAAAAAATGGGTCACATTTGGTTGATGCTTGATGATTCTGAAAACATTTTAAAATGTCAATTAAGAATAGATTTTTATAGCTTTTTTGGGAAAAAAATGGCTTCCTCGTTTTCGACAAAGTAACAAAATTATTCCACTTTCAATCAATGTTGCTATGTTTAAAGAATTTCGAAGAAGAAACAAAGAATTCTTTTCAAAGTATCGATAGTATCGCGATATCAAGTATATTCTGCAAAAGAATATCAAAAAAATAATGTTATTAATTATTTATTAGATAAAGATTATTGTTATTATTATGGGCAAACAATAATAATGGTAAATGATGAAAACAACAACAAACAACGTATGTAATAATAAATTATTATTGTTGTTTTTTGGATTCTGGATCCATTGGATTTTTTTTATGATTATCACATGTTTTAAAAATCATCATCATCATCGATTTTATATTCGACGATGATCCAAATAAAACATTACTTACTTTTTTGCAATTTTTAACAAAACAAATGTCTCTATAGAGAGAAAATGAAAGAAATGTTTTGAATGAAACACAGAAAAAAAATTCACAATTTTCAACTGAATTTCACTATGTGTTGGATGGATCATTCCATTCTGGTTCTTTGTTTTCAAAACAAAAACAAAAAGAAACCAGTAACATCAGGATGTAATTATATAATTTTCATTCATTTACACTCGATTCTTTTTCGTCTTTTTTTTCATTCTCTCTTTTGTTGTTCGTCGTCGTTCGTTGTTCAATGTCAGTATCTATCATTTAAATAATTAATTAACAAACTAATTAATTTAAAAAAACTGTACGCTCAATACACTCATTCATTCATTCATTCATTCAATGAACAACAAAACAAACGGAAAGTGTCTTAAGTGTGTGTGAATGAATAGAGATAACAAAATGAAATATTGAACAGTATTTTTTTTCGGTTTCTTGTCTCTTTCTCTTGTTAGAAATTCAATGAATAATGATGACAGCATTGTTGTTAACATTGAAAAATTGAATTGTTTTATATTTTTTTGTGAAATTTAAAATTAAAAACACAAAAAATGCAAAAAATCGGGCTGATTAAAACGCATTTTTTTCATTCATTCTTTCGGGGCAATACCTCTCTCGTCAACAGTTTTTCTTTTGAAAACGAAAAAAAAAATTCATTCATTCATTAAGATAAGATAATTGTATCGAATTAAATGATTGGAATAGATTTATGATGATAATGATAATTGATAATTAATGAAACAAAAAGAAGATTCATTAGAAAAATCTATTCTTTTTTTCGAATGTTTTCAAAACATTCGAAAACAAAACATTCGAATTCGATTTTAACGCCATCTGTTGAATTTTGTTTCTAATTTTATTATTTCTTTTTCGAACAGATATGTTGAGCTATTACGATATGGTGTAAAAAGTTGGTCGGATAAACGTCGTCGTGTTGATTATCATAATAATGGTGGCCAAAAAGATGGTGGTGGTGGTTGGTCATCAACAACGACAGCATTACCATCATTATCAACCACATTGCCTAGACCTCGTTTTCAATCATCAATTGGTCCGGGTAGTTTACCCGATTTTGAACCAGCCGTAAGTATAATATTATTCTCGAGAATTTTATAAATTATTCTGTTTTTCTTATTATCAAACAGGTTAATAAATCAAATACACAGGAAAAATCATCATTTAATCGTATCGATTATTATCTATTAACTGTTGCTGAAGATCGTGACACTTCATTATTAAGTCTGTTTCAATGTTTAATGCAATGTACAATACAAATGATATTACATTTACATTCACTTATTTCACATTGGTATTTTGAACATCATCATCATCTAAATAATTATAATCATAATTATACAGGTAAGGATGATATTTGAATCCAGAATATTTATTCTGATATTGACAAAAAATCTGTTTTTTTAAATATAGAATATGTTCAGATAACCGTGATATTATTGGCACTGTTTGAAACTTCTTGGTCGATCAGTTCCTATCATCGAGCCTTACGACGAGCTTCATATGATAAACGTAATCTATCCGCATTTGGTACAATCATACAATCATGTTGGCATTGTTTAACATTAGCATCAAGATTATTAGCAATTTCATTGTTTCTACATCAATTTGGTTATTGGTTATTACCAATAGGTATTGGTCATTGGGGTATAATGACCATATGGATAATGCATCAAGGAACACATTTTTTTGATACTGAACTTGGTCGACCAAATCCTTGTCAAGAATATATGTTCAATATGCTTATAGGATTAATTTATCTATTTGTATTTATTAATCTTAAAGATGAGCCAACACGTTTTAAATATCTAGCATTTTATACAATAATAATGGCCGAAGATATTACATTTGCTTCATTATGGTTTTTACGTATTGAAACAGATTATTTTTGGTCATTACATTCAATATTGTTTGCTGCTGTACCAATATTATTTATTGCAAGTATTTTAGTAATGCAATTTTATTATTGGTTTGTACATCCAAATGGACGTCCATTGATAATCAATAAAGCAGCTCGTTGTTGTTGACACCATGATCACGGTCATTTTTGTTATAAATCACATTCACATTGATATATTAGATATATGAAATTTTCAAATGTTTTTTTTGGTCAAAATAAATAAATTTTTTCAATCAAATAAACGACTTACCCATCTTTATCAGATTTTATTGTCAAAAAATTTGAATAATTTGATAAAAGATTAAATAAATTTGTTAATGATGATGAAAGTGGTGGTAATGGTGATGATGAAAGTTGTAAATTTCTATTTTGATTATTATGTTGATGATGATGCAAAACTATTGCGGCGGGAGGCACAATAGAATTCTTTTGAATTCTATTATCATCGATCGGTGGTGATGATGATATTTCATTCGTAATTGTTGATTGATAATGAAGTTGATGAGGATGATGATTAGGAGATTCTGGTACACTTGATGAGGTATGTTGTAAATTACTTTGATGATGAATATATTGAAAAAGTCCATCAACAAATTCAGCTAATGAAACACGACCATCTTGATCCGAATCTAAACGATCAAATAATTGTTCAATAATTTGATCATTTGAAATATTCATACCAATATGTTCACAAACACGATACAATTCATCGACAGTTAGATAACCATCATGACCAACATTTAATTGTTGCCAAATATCACGAAGATATTCTTCATATGATAATGTATCACCATCCACACCACCATCAGTGGATGGATCCACTATTTTTGAATGTTGATGATCATCATCATTATGATTCAATGAAGATGTTGTCGTAGCATAAAGTTGATCAAAATAATCATCATATTCATATGGTTCATCATCATTGATTTTTGTCATTGATGTGATATCGTTGACATCTAATGATGATGGTGGTGATATGTTTTCCGTTATGATTGTTGTTGTATCCAAAACATTATTCTTATTGCTGATTTTTGTTGTTGTTGTTGTTGTTGTTGATATTGATTTTGGACAATCATAACTATCAACAAAATAATCATCTTCATCCATTTTTTTTTGAGATTGATTTACAAAAAAACACAAATTTCTCATATGATGATGGTTTTTTTGGTTGTTTGAAAATCGAATCGAATCGAATGAAATTTTTTCTTGTGAAAGAAAATTCATTCGACCAAAACCAAAAGAGTGTATATTGGATGATAATAATCGAGGCTTTTCAACACATACAAGCGAAAGAGAAATATTTTTTCTTTTAAATCCAGGATACCTTTTACATTTATCATTATCGTTATGTTGATGATGATGATGATGATTTCTATATATACGTTCTTTATTCGACCATAACGGTATAAATGTTTTTTGTTTTCTATGTTTTGTTTCGCTAACGTAAACGTATGTATAAATGATAATAAATAATACCGAGGTTGTCAACACTCTTTACAATGGCGTTCTGGTTGTTATTTGAACGAATGAAAAAAAAGAGAGAACTTTCAAAGAACTATGAGAACAAAACAAACGAAAAATGAAAGGATATATGGTTTTCTCAAATGGATTGAATTGGTTGGTTGGTTGGTTGGTTGGTTTGGTTGTTTTGAGAGTTGACAATGTTGAAAATGAATTGAATTGAACAGAAAAAAAAACACCGGAGTTCAATGAAATGAAGAATAAAAAATCTTTTTACCTGATGATAATAATGATGATGAAAGTAAGTGGCTATTGGCGTCCATGACAACAACGGTGATGATTAGAAAATGAATGAATGATGTTAAAAATAGCAATCTTCTTTTCTTTTTCTGTTGTTAAAATGTAACATTAGTGATGATGGTCACAAGGAATGAAACAATTACAACCAAATGGAATGAAACAACAACAACAAAAAAGATGGAAAAATGATGATCACCAAGGAACGACAAAGACTTTTGTTAATGATGATTATATAAAATGAATGATGAAATTGTTGGACAAAAGTTCTCTGACCTTATTCATTTTTTTTTGCATTCATTCATTTCATGAACACAAAAACTGTCCACTGGAACAAACTGACCGCTGGAACAGCCTTAAACTGTTTCGGTGATTGATGAATGAATGACATAATGTGACTTGTGAATTGTCATCAAAGAAAAAAAAATCTTTATCATCGATTTTATCAATCAAATTTTTTTTAACCAGGAAACTTTATCACTATCGTTTGTTTTTGATTCAGTTTTTGAATCGTGCACGATTATTCCGAATGAAATGAATTTTATTTTTATTTAAAAGAAAATGGCGCCATTGAATAATGATCATTGTTTTTTTTCAATGGTAAATAATCATTATGGCGTGGTGGTGGTCGTTATCGTCGTTGCATACCATAGCACCAAACATTCAACAAAGGCATTTCTCTTTCTCTTTCAAACACTTGTACCATAATAGAGTTTCAAACAACAATGCTTCTGATGATGATAATGATGATGGTCATTTTTTGTTTCTTTTTTTTTCGATGATGATTTATTATCGAATGAAATGAAAAACGAAGATTTGTCCTTGGCGCAATGGATAATTTTGGCGTAACTTTTGATGTGTGTGTGTGTAATTGAGAGAAAGAAAGAGAGAAGCAGAAGAAATGAAAATTAGATTTTCTATACTTTCCAAAAATCAAACCCTTTTTCTTAATTTAGTTTTTCCAAACAGGTTAGCTCATCAAACAAACCGAAAAAAAATCATTCACATTAAAGACAGGTGACAGGATATCGCCGAACTCTTAAACTTTGTTCAAATCTCTTTATCAACACAAACAGACAGCGATTTGGATTTTTTTTAATCCACAACAACAACAAAAAACGTCTAGTTTAGTTTCTTTGTTCACTCATCGAATAATTATGGAGTATTACTATCGTTAATAATAATAGATATTTTTTTTGATTCAAGGTAGGTTAGAGTGTTCTTCTTTTTTCTACATTGTCAGAATTTCTGGTCGATCTGGTTTGGGTTCTGATCAGCACAACACTACATTACATTAGATTCTATATACTTTTTTTGGTACTAGTCGTCATTGTTACCGCTTGTAAATTTTTTTTTTCGATCAAGTTTATTCTTGCTGAACAAAAAAAAATACCATGGTTACCACCGAATAAACCAAAGAAACCATTCGTCTATTAGACGGATATCGAATGGAATAATTTGAAAGAAAATCAATGAATTTTAATAATTTTTGGTTTTCCGATTATAAGAATTTGAATGATTGGATTATTCATTGAGTTTGTACAGGCTGATTGCTATACAACAAAACCAATAGAAAATCCACATTGATATTTGAGTTCAAAGTGATTTTCGAATGGTAAAGTTTTTAATGTTGTTATTGGAGAGTTTTCAACTGCCTAACCGCGGGTTAAAATGCGAAAATGCGCTTTTGCAACAAAAAAAAAATTTCAAAAATTATTTAATCAAATAAAAAAATCATCTCATTTTATTGGATTTTTAATTATAAATTTATAATGATAATTACTAATAATCAATTAACAGTTATTACTGATCGATTCAAACATTTCGATCTTGATTTTACTTCAACCATCATTAACGTTATCCTTTTCTTTCAAAGAATCCAATTCTTTCTAAACGTTCAGCTTCTTTTTCAGCATCATATGTTCTGTAAACAAAATCGAATACATTTTTAAAATAAGTATTTTTTTAAAGAATTTTAGATCACAACTAACCGATAAAATTCTGCAATTTTTTCACGTCGAACATCTTTGAAGAAAAATTTCAAACTAAATTGTGTTGCCACAGCTAAACCAATAGCAATTGGAATATGAACTTTTAGACTATCCAATAAGAGACGGCGAAGTTTTGGTTTAGCCAAACGACCAGCAGCAGCTGAAGACATTTTGTTTCAAATTTTATCGATAACTATAAGAGAAGATTATTATGGTTGTAATTAATATAATAAAATCAAAACTAAATTCAAAAGTAAAAATACTAACCAAGTTGAATTTTACAAAAAAAAATATTGTCCTTTACAAGCCGTAAATCGCCAATGATGAAAAGGGCAACACAGAGCAAGTGATGGTCGACTAAAAAAAAAATTCAATATCGATTGTTCTTATAAACTCGCGAGTGCTTGTCAGAGCAAACCGAAAAAAACAAAATTGAATTTTGTTAATTGAATTTGAAATTGAATATTTTTTCCTCAGTTTTATCAACTTAAATTTTTCAAAAAAGAATGGCAACAAATATACCTCAAGATATTCAAGAAGAGAATGCAGCTGAATTACAATTTCCAAAAGAATTTGAAAATCAATCAACAGAAACATTATTGATTTCTGAAGTAAATTTATTACTTCAACATCGTATCAAACAGAATGAAAATTCGGAAGAAGAACAAGAATTTTCAGATGTTTTCAACAAAACTGTAAACTATACAACAAGATTTAGTCGTTTTAATAATCGTGAAACGATAGCTACTATTCGTCAGATTTTGGGACAAAAGAAACTACATAAATTTGAATTGGCACAGATTGCTAATTTGGCTCCTGAAACACCAGACGAAGCTAAAGGATTAATACCAAGTTTGGAAGGACGATTTACCGATGATGAATTGGCTCAAATGCTTGATGATATACAAACTCAACGTAGCATTCAGTATTAATATCAAATCAATCAAAATTATTCTGATTTTTTTTTCTTCCCATTCATTTTTTCAATTTTTTTATTTTTGTAAATAAATAAATCGATTTTTTTAATTAAGTATATCAACAAACTATTACAAAGGAAATTTACTAAAAATTTGGTTTTTTTAATAATTAAATGTTCCGTTTTCTTTTGAATCTTGTAAAGTTATTATTGTTGTTTAGCCAACAAGGCAACCATGCAAAGTGCTGTTATTCCTGTTTATAAATGATGAAAAAAAAAAGATTTTTTAGATTTTCTTTCGAATTTTCTCCCGAATTTTTTTCAATTTACCAAGAACAACATAACCGGTAAGATAAAGACGTGGTATCGAATAACCATAACCCATATCCCAGCAAAGATGACGAATACCATTGAATGTATGATAGGCTAATGCAGTTCCTAATTTTCGAAAAATCAAGCAGTTAAAATCATTAATAATGTACGATAAATGAATCATGATACTAACCACACATTACTTTAAAAATTGATTTGCAAGGAATAACATCGGCATATGATTCTAATAATTGGGCATAATTTTTATTCGAATATAATAATTCAGCAATACCAAAACCATAGATAATTAAACCAAGACCAACACCAGTAATACGATGTGTTAATGATAACATTGATGTTAATTGAATTTTATATGTAAGACCTAACATATATGGACTTTGAGGACTGCCACGTTTTGCATGTCTTGCCATAAATTTTTCAGCTTCTTTTGCAAATGTTGAATCATTACGAATTTGTTGACCAATTTTAGTTAAAAGATTTTTACTTTGTCCACGAGGATATAATGTTATGATTCTTGTGATCAACATGATGATCAATTTGTTTGTTTGCTTATTCGTGGCAAATTCTATCGGTTCAAATCCCTCAAAATAATAACCATGAATCAACCTTCAAAAAAAAAAAGTTTTTATTGTGAAATGAAGCACTATTAAAATTCTACTGGAGAGTCGTTCATAAAGATAATGATCGTAAAATCGTCAACATATCCAAAAATTTTTTTTTCTTCGATGATAATCCAATGAAATGTTTGCCATTTTATTAATTTCATTCATAGTCATTTGTATTGGTACAATCATATTTTTGCTTCTTATCGGGCAACAATCTGATCAAACCAAATCATTAATGTCGGTTCTTGGCAGTGGTGGTCATACACATGAAATGTTAACATTAATCAAATCATTGATAATTCAAGAAGAATCAAAAGATTCGAAACATTTTCCATTCGAAGAAATTATTTTCATAGTATCCAGAGATGATGAATTTAGTGTTGAAAAATTGAATCAAATCATTCCTGAATGGTCATCGTCATCGACGAATGATCGAAAAAATTCAATCCGATTTCAATTACATCGTATACAAAGAAGTCGTCAAGTTCATCAAAATTATATTTCATCCATTTGGACTACATTAATTTCATTATATCATTCATTTAAAATTATTTTCAATATACGACCGAAAATTTTACTATGTAATGGACCTGGTGTTTGTATACCTGTCATTATTGCCTGTCGTATTATTTCCAATCGAACAAATATTATTTTTGTTGAAAGTTTTTGCCGTACCAGATCACTATCATTGACCGGGAAAATTCTGTATCATACAAAATTAGTTAATCATTTTATGGTACAATGGCCAAAATTGGTTGGAAAATATCCTCGAGCTAAATTTTTGGGATTATTAGTTTAACATCTTTTTCAACAACAGAAAAAATTTCATTAAAAATTTTTATTATATTTTGTACGAATCGTTTGTTTAAAATCTTCAACACGACATTCTAAATTCAAATTTTGTTTAGTTGAATTGTCCGAATTTTCTTCATTTTCGCTATCATCATCAGCACAGGTCAACGGTTGCTTACCGGACAATGTTCGACGAAGACAAATCATCATAGCTGACGAGCAGATAGCATAAAAATCAGCTCCAGATAATAATGGTGGTGAACATTGTTCAATTTCATCAACGATTTCTTGTCTTTGTCGTTGACCATTTTGTTCTTCTTCAAAATGAAAATTTTTTATCAGTGCATTGATAATTGCCTGACGAGATTTTCGATCTTTCGGTATAGGAACTTCGATAATTTTATCAAAACGTCCTGGACGTAGTAATGCTGAATCGATTAAATCAACACGATTTGTTGCACCAATAACAAAAACTATTGGTGTTGATAATTCATCACTGAGTTTTTGTCTGGAATTAATACCATCTAATTCGGCTAATAATTGTGATACAACACGATCCATAACACCACCCGAATCACCTGAACGACCACGACTTGGTGCTAATGAATCAAGTTCATCAAAAAATATTAATGCAGGTGATGATAAACGTGCTTGTGCAAATAATGTACGAACATTTTCTTCACTTTGACCAACATATTTACTTATTAATTCAGGTCCTTTAACACTGATAAAATTTACACAACATTGTGAAGCAACAGCTTTTGCAAGTAAAGTTTTCCCAGTTCCAGGTGGTCCATGTAATAGAATTCCCGAACGTTTTATACCCAATTCATCGAAATCGAAACCTAATTTCAATGGTAGTTCAATTGTATCAAGAATTTCTTGTTTAACTAGATCTAATCCACCAACATCTGACCATTGTATTTTAGGTATTTGTAGGGAGAAATTTGTTTTATTTTCATTATGAAATCGATTTAATCCGGATTGTATTGATAGGAAAAAATTTTCCAAATTTCCATCTTCATTATTTCGTAAAATTTCATTTAAAATGTTGATAATTTGACCAATATTTAATCCATTACTTAAATCAGCCAGTGTTTGTAATTGTTCATTTGTAATCATTTGTAAATTTTCGAAATGTTTTTCAATGACCATTTGGAAAATATTTTTTCTTTGTTTATCATCAAGTTTTTTCAATTGAATTACATGTGAAAATAACATTAATAATGGATGGATAATATTTTGATTTTTATTCGATGATTGTTGATCTGTTGCAACAATAATTATTGGCCAAACATTTCCTTCATTTAGTTCGGATAATGATTGTCGGAAAAAATCTATTAAACGATCATTTTCAAAAACATCTGATTTCAGTAACATATCCAAATCATGTATCAATATCACACATGGTGCATATTGACGAATTTTTATGAAAAAATTTTTCAATTTTGCTTCAGTTGTTTGTGGTAGTTCACATAATAAATCCAAACAAGCATTACATTCGAAAATATGTAGATGCCAATATTGAGCTGCTTGACGAATCAAATGACGTGATGATTCACGATCACTAAAATTTTTTAGTAAAAATGTTCCAGTTGGCATTGTGGATATTCCAAGTAAATATGGTTGAAATTCTTTAGCTAAATATTCAATTTGATCACTGAGTATTTTTCGATAAAATTCATGATCGAAATAATTCATATGCGTGGTAAGATAATATCGAATAGATGTTGGTGCAATTGATTGTATATTTGATGATTTAAACATTTCAATTTGATCACAGTCGGGTTTTGCATTTAAAATGTAATTTGTTTCGTTCGAAATTTCATTATTTATACGACAAATATGAAAATAAACAACCGTACCGATTTGTTGAAAAGATAATATTGAATGACAATGTTTATAGAAAAATTTTGAATTTTGAATTTGAATAGCAATTATATCGTTTACTTTTAGTAATCTTCTTTGTTGTTGAAGTTTTGCTTGATCAATTGGATAAAAATATGAATGTAATTCATCATTATAATCATAATCAACGGGATAATCAGGTGATTGTATTAAATTGAATTGAATTTGTTTGATTTGTTCAGGATTTTCTGTTGAACTACTATATACATTAATTTTAGCATTCGAATCAATCAATGGATATTTGTGAAAAAAATTTTCAAGATTTTCATTTATGGATTGAAAACGTAGATTAAACCAAAGTTGTTGCGAAATTAGACAAGTATTTTCATCATCAATAATTTCATAAAATGGTTGAACTAAACGTTTGGATCGATAATTATTGGAAATTAATTCAATCATAATCCATTCGTGTTGTTTTAAAATATCTTTCCATTTCGTTGATAGTATTATGGCTCCATTATCCAAATCGACAGGGTTTTCATTCAAATCATGATCGCCAATATTGATATGTTTATCAAGGATGTTTACCTTTAATTCTTGAATCAACAAACAACATTTTGATTGATGTTCAGACATTTTTTAATTCCACAAAACAGAAATATTCCCTTCAAATTCGCTCAACATGTGTCTGAAAATAATTCTTTTGCACCAACGCCATCTATCGTATCTATGGAATATTTTTAAAAAACTGTAATAAAATTTTCTCTTCAAAAACATTCCCTATTTATAGAAAATTCGTTGAAACTTTAAAGATTAACAAGGATGACGGGTGTTGACGAGCATTGTTTAGGCCAGTATCGAAGGATTAGTTTTGGGTTGAAATTAGCTGCATAAAGGTCGCGATGCAAACCGGGGGACACTGAATTTTTCGTGTGCGCGCACAATTGTGGATTTGGGTATAGAAAACCCCGTGTGGTTTCTCTATGGATTCCGTAATTTTGAGGCCAATCATTTTCAGGGCGCCATTTTTTAAGAATTCAATTCGGAAAATTGAATTAAAAATTCGGAAATTTTGTTTCGTAACGTCGTCGGTCGAGCGGCTGTTACTCTCGTTGAACCCAATCCGATTCAGTCGGTCCATTAATAATAGGCTCCGACAAGAAAGTGCTTGTGAAATCAACCGCTATGAATTCATCTGGTCGACATGCAAGTCTCACCTGGATTCCTTTTTTTATTTAAAAAAAAATTTTTTTTACTTTCGTAACCATTCGAATATTCCGTTCAAGATAACAATTAACATTCAACATTTATATCAAAGAAAAAAGATAAGATAAAGATAATTCATTCGCATTAATGCCATCTATAGTGCAGCTATGGAATATGATCATAAAAACTGTAATCAAATTTTCCATTGGAAAACATTTCCTATATATAACAAATTCGATTGACTATGAATATTAACAAGGATGATGGGTGTTTGATGAACATTGTTTGGCCATGAAACATGGATGATTAGTTTCGGTTGAAATTAGCTTGTGATTTTGGTCGCGATGTAATCGGCGGACACTGTGATCGGTGAGGGTGAAAAAAAATCGAAACCCCCCTGTCTGAAATCAAAAAACAAAACAACATTGCTGCTATGATCAATTGATCCCGATCCGTTTCAGGGTAGTCTCAAAGATGTGCTCCGGCCAAAAAAGCATTGTGAAATCACCGCTATGAATCCTCATCTGGTCAAACATGCAAGTCACACCTGGATTCCTTTTTTTATTCAATTTTTTCATAATAAAAATCAATTCAAATTAAACAAGATTAAGAATTTTTTCAATTGAATTAGATATTGATGAATCAGTTTCATCTGTAATTAAATCCATTGCTTCGTTGAAAATTTTTGAATCAATTGTAGAATCATAAATTCTTTCTAAACGATCTTGTGCTGAATGAATAATATGTTCAGGCATACCAACCGATTTCATTACTTCAATACCAAATGATTGTGAATTATATTGTGATTGTTGATCAGATAATGCACGATAATGAATGATTAATTGTTTTTGTTCATTAAAACTTGATTCCATATGAAGACGATTGATTAAACCTTTTGTTAATGATGATCCTAAATTATGAAAATGTGTAGCAAATAATGTATAGGCACGAATATTACGAGCAATATGTTCAATAATAGATTGTGCTAAACCAAATCCATCATTGGTAGATGTTGAACGTCCCAGTTCATCGATCAATATCAATGAATTTGATGTAGCCGATTTTAAAACACCAGCAATTTCACACATTTCAGCCATAAATGTTGACATACCTAATGATAGATCATCACTTGAACTCATTCGTGTATAGATAGCATCGGTTATAGAAATACGTGCCGATTCACATGGTACAAAACAACCAATCTGTGCCATCAATATTGAAAGTGCTACCGATCGTAATAGTGTTGATTTTCCACCCATATTTGGTCCAGTAATTATAAATGCTTTTAATGATTCACTAAAACGTATATCATTCGGTACAAATTGACCACCATTAATTGATTCCAAAATAGGATGTCTAAATTGTTTTAATTCAATTTCGTTTGCATCTGATTCCAAAATTGTTGGTTTTTTTAATGGTATTGGAAAATCGGCTGTAACTTTAGCGAATGATGTTAAAATATCCAACAAAGAAATGTATGATTGTATTGAAGATATTCGATATAAATCATCCTCTGATTAGAAAAAAAAAACAATAATTAATTTAATTAATGAATAAAACCAAAAACCAAAAACTTACGACATTCTTTCAATAAAAGACGCATACAATTTTTGCTTAATTTTTCAAATTGTTTTGCAAAATCCAAAAATTCATCATTAATTTCATTCAATAATCTTGTAAAAAATTTCATACTTTTTTCCGATTTTGATGAAATTGTTTGATAAACAATGGATTTATTTATTATATCAATATTTTTCTTGCTAACTTCATAATACCAACCTAAATCGGAATTTTGTTCCAATGATATTCCATTATCATATTTTTTCTGTAACGATCGATGTTCATCACGTACTTGTTTGGATAATTGTTCCATCATCGAATGAATTTCAGTTAATTCCGGGAAAGTTTTTACATTCAATTTAAATTCATTATGTTCAGCATAACTTGTTAAATCTAAAGCTTGTACCAAACGTATATATAATTGATTGGTTTGAGTTAGAATTTTTAAAAGCTTATTGATTAACACTTGTTGTACAATCGTTGGAAATGGACAATCATAATTATCAAACACTATTTTCAATTGACGAAGATATTCAAGAATAAAATAAAGTTGAAATACATCTTTGATTTGATAATGACCAGCTGTTAATTTTTTATACAATTTGGTCATATCTGGTATCCGAGGAAGAATCTGTTCACGAATCGAATCCATTATTGATGAATTTTCCAGAAAAAATTCCACAATATCCAGTCTAGTCTGTATGGTCATACGATCGGTTGATGGTTGCCGGATAAATTGTTCCAATAGTTTCATACCACAATAAGTTTTACATTGATTTAAAATTTGAAACAATGATTGTTTGGATTTGGAATTCAATTTCGATGGAAATAAATGTAAATGTTGAATGGATGATAAATCTAAACGTACAAATTGTTTTGGATTGATTATGTTGATAAAAAAACAACCAAACGGATAATCGACCAATGATTCAACATCATCAACAAGTAATTTTTGTTTCGATAATAATGGATAAAGTGGACATAATATTTCATGCGTATAGCCAGTTGTTTGTTGAAGAAAATTTTCAATCATTTCACGACATTCAGGTACAGCTAAATTTTTAAAAATTTTTTCCAATTTAACAATATCATTTTGATATTGAATCGAATATTTACGTATCATAACATGATTTCTTTTCAATAATTGTGTTAATTTTTTTGAATGACTACCCGAATCTGGTATGAAACATTCTTTAGGATTCAGACGAACTAAAATTGTTTCTAAATAACGAAGACAATCATTATCTTGAAAATGACCGATAAAAATTTGACATGCCATTGGATCAATAGAAACCACCGATACATGATTATTACGATCTTCATCTTCATCATTATCGACAATATAAACAGCCAATAATTGAATAGAAATATTAACATCAGCATCATATAAAAGATTTTCGAAAGGACCTAAACAACCAGGTGATGCTTCAATTTCTAAACGCCATTGTTTGATATTTGATTTTGGATTTGTTTTCGAATAAATTTCAACAGCAAAATTATTTTCAATCAATAAATGACGAATCAATGATGAAAAACGTGTCTGACTAATCCAAGTATAACAAACGGTATGAAAATCTTTTGTTTGAAATATTTTCAAACTTTCAGTAGTGTTTAGAAAATTTTTCGAAACATATTCAGCATTATTATCATGTAATGTATAGAATGATCCATGATTAAACAGAATGAACACATTTTCTGTTTGAGTTTTACGAATTTCCGAATAAAATTGTATGAATTCCAAATCAAATGTAATATCTAATTTTTTTTGAAAAATTATTATTTGTCTGATTTTTCATATAGTCATCGAATGTGACTTACCAGTTTTCGAACCTAAATTATCATTATCAGTCATTTTGTCAATTGTTTGTTTTAAATCACTAAATTAATGTCGAAAAAAAAATTCGGCGCCATAAACTGATTTGCAATATGAAAAATTTTACGCGTAAAGTTGCTCTTTTCGGTCAACTTTTGGTTGAAGAATTTTCGGACAAAAGATGGCACTCGGATTCGAATTTTTTTTTTCAAAAAATGTTCGAAAATTCGAACATTTGAAAACATTCGAAAATAGAATTAGTGTTCGAAAACTCAAATCAGTTTTCGCCTTAACCCATCTTTAAATGAGATTCAGAATGCCACGCTTTTAAGAAGAACAAATATTCAACAAGTCTTGTCTTTGTGAAATTTGAGAATTGCCTGCTATACACTTTTTCGATTGGAAGGAAAGAATTCTTTATTTCCGACGAACGACGAACGATTTTTTGATTTTATTTGGAAAAATATCAAGATATATTGCGAAAATTGAAAATCAAAAAGGAAAAGACACACGACGCATCGTATTCATTCATTTGGTTTTGATCATATTCAAAATGAAAAAAACAAATTTCTATTTTAATAATTTGTAATGATTTTTTATTTTATTTTTTTTTTAATATCAACAATCAATCAAAATAATAAAACAAAATTAAACAAATAAAAATTATCAATAATTATCATCATATATCGAAAATTCTTTTGTAATATCTTCTCCAAACTTTTTTCCAAGTCCAATGTAAACAATTCTCTTAGATAATTGTTCCAATCTATTACCGTTTTGTCGGATATTTCAAGCTGTTTTTAACAAAATTTTTATTGATGTTAACTCCTCTCACCAGCAATAAATAAATCGTTATCGGTTAAGGGTATTCGGCTTCCTTCGAACAAAGTATCTTTTGTTTTTAATCTTTCTCCTTGCTGATTACAACCATCTTTAACATTACATACCCAGCAAATTCTTTTTCCGAAATAGCTTTTCATAATATCTGCCCATTCAAACAATTTTCTGTGTCTTTGGGAAAATCCCATAAAAGCATATTGAAAAAAAATAAGCAAAAAACAACGATTGAGAACAAACAACAAAAAGCAAATGACTAAATGAACGAAATTTCTATCTTATTTATATTGACAAAAAAAAGGTTCTTTTTTCGAACTAAAATGGCGTGTTATGTGTGTAAAGCGTGTAAACAACACTCTCAAATTTGCGTGCAAACTTGATCCCGTCATTATATTCGTCCCGGTAATTCATAAATATTTTATTTTTATTTTTTAATGAAAAAAAAACATTTTCAAAATTCATATAAATCATATGCATCAAGAATATTGTTTCGTGTATTTAAATTTGTATTATTTAAAAAGCTTAAATCACTTTTGTTTTTATTCACTGCTGTTGTTGATGGTGGTGCTATCGACTGATTATTTGATGACGATGTCGGCGATGATGATTTCTTCAGATTGGCCAAAGTACCCAATGGTGGCAGTTTTTTTGTCGAATTATTATTTACAGCATTTTGCGAAAGACTAGAACGTGCCGGGCTTTGAAGTTTTTTCTCAATCATTTCGGCCAATTCGGATACACGAAGTGTTTGATCATTTTTCGTGCGATCATTATCATTCGACAATTTATCATCAAGCAATGAATTAAGTGTATTATTGAATCCGATCGTTGCTGTATTATTGATTGTTGGTTGTGAAACATTTTTACGTTTTGCCGGTATTGGCATTATCGAAATGGAATTTTCAGATTTATCATGAACATCTACTTTTATCATTTGTTGCTGCTGTACTGGATTATTTACAGATTCAGTTTGATTTGGCATTTTCCGTATAACTTGTTCATTTTCATCTTCAGAACTAGTTGTTGATGATGTAGTTGATGATGATATTGATGATATTTCTTCGGGTTTTTCGGGTTCTTCATCAAGATTTTGATCAAGATTCAAATCATCAACAATATTAAACATTCGATTCGAATTATTTATCGATGGTTGTTCTTTGTTCGTTGTTTCAATTTCTTTGACAATATTTTGTTCGTTTGTTGTTTGATGATGATCATCATCCGATAATGTCCAATCACCATCAACGTCATCATCATCATTATCACTATTTAATGGACTAATTTCAAATTCAATTACTTCATTATTAAATGTTATATTTCGTTTGTTTTCTGCAATTTTTCCCGGTTCTTTTAGAATTGATTTTAAATTATTTGTTGTTGTTGTTGTTGTTTCATTTGGCGAATCTTTCGATGAAACAACCGTTGACGAAGGTTGTTTTTTCGTCTTTTCCGGCAATTGTTTTGGCATTTGAGTTTCAATTTCAACTATTTCCACATTGCTGTGACCCGATGTTTCATTCGATGTTTGATCAGTAGAAGTTTGTTTATCATCATTTTTTTCGATTTTATTCTTCAATTTCATATCGATTATATCACGAATTGATGTTTCAATTTTAACAAAATCATAGTCATGTCGTGATTGTTGAATTAGAAGATTTCGATCATCTTGTATACGACGCATTGCCTGATTAAAATGATCATTTTGTCCATCATTTTCATCATCATTTTCATTTTCTAGGTAAGATTTTATACGTGTTTCTATTGAATTATAAATATCCGATTTAACTTGTTCTTTGTTAGTTTGTTCGGTTTTTTCACCAATTCTGTTGTTGTTGTTTGAGCTTTTTTCATCAACAATTTCCGAATCCACAACATTTTTCGATTGTTTTAATCTCGTTTCTTCTTTTTTCGAATCTTTTTTATTTTTAGTTTTTTCTTCCGATTTTTTCGGTTCGATAATCGGAATCGGTTGCTGTTTATGTCGTTGTTCTCGTTTGGTTGTCAATTGTGAAATTAATTCCATACGTAAATTTTGTTTAAGTTTTTTATCATCAGTTTTTTGTTCATTCAAAATAATCTTGTTTTTTACATTTTCAGATTGAATGGATTTCTTGTCGTTTGTTTGTTCCAAGTTGTTGCTTGATTTCTCAATGTTTTCATTTGATTTTCTTGACGATTTTTGTTCATTTTCATCAAACATTTCATCGATTTTTGAACCAATTTTTTCATCTTCAGATTGACTATTTTCACTGTATCGGTTGTCTTTTTCGAATGTTTCTTTTTGATCCGGTTTGTTGATCGAACGTTGTCGTTGTTGTTGTTGCTGCTGTGATTGAATTTTACGAATTTTATTCTCTAATTTTGTTTTAATCGATTGAATTTGTTCATCAAAATTATTTTTCAAATCATTTTCAAATATTTTTCTTGCCATTTTTTCTTCATTCAATTGTGTTTCAGTTTTTATTAATTTATTTTTTAAAACATCAAATTCGGTGAATAATTCTTCAATTTTATCCACCGATATTGTTATATCCGTATTGGATTGTGATAATTCTTGTTGTTGTTGTTGTTTTAAACAACAATGTTGTTGTAATATTCTTTGTACAAATGATATATTCGATGTTATCGATGATTGAAGCGATATTGATGATGGATCATCAACATTCGAATATGAACTAAAATGACGAAGTTGTAAATGTTTTGTAAATGCTTGTGAATCACTAAAAATTTTCGAACAAAATGTACATTGGAGTTTTGATGTAGAATTTGATTTCAATGAATCTGATGGTAATTGATCTAAACTATATAAACTACTATTATTATCATCATCATTATTATTATTATTATTTCCATTTTGATCAATAATCGATGATTGTTGCTGTTGATCAGGTAATGTATGAATTTCTTGTGAAAAATTTATTCGACGATAAATAATTGATTTTTGTTGTAATTGTAATAATTTTCTTAGTTTACGATTTTCTTGTAACAAATTATTATTTGAATTACCAATGGTGGATTCTTTATTTTCCAATTCCAAACGTCTTATATCGGCTAATAAAAAATCAATTATCGTTTGACATAATTGTAAGATTTTTGTCAATGTTTTTTCCATTTCTTCATGATCCGTATCATTCTTCTTGTTGCTCTCGTGATTCGTATTGATATTATGAGCAGCAGTTTGACCAAAATCAATCGAAACAATCGATCTTGCAATATCATATAATTGTCCATATGATACATTGGATTTTTGATTCATTTGGGTACAATTAATCAATTGTTGATCTAATTCATTTAAATTTAATCGATTCATTTTCAATGTTTTTTGTTTTTGTTTTTTTTGTGACACAAGAAAATCTAATGATCTTCGAATCAAATCAAATCATCATCATGTGAAATGTTTCATTAGCGAAAATGTTTCGGTCATATGTTACCATGGTAACGTTTGGTTTGTTTTGGTTTTTGGTTACCGTTTATGTTAACCAAACAACAAATTGGATCATTCATTTTTTGGTTTTCTTTCCTGTTAGTTACCTTTGATTGCAGACCGCTACTTGATTGATTTTGGAAAAAGAGAGAGTTTTCATTTTTTTCGGTTGAAAAAATATTTCCTGGTTTATTTGAGTTTTGAATTTTGCGCTCCGGAAAACGGAACCATTCGAAAATAACGTAATCGATTTCAGTGATTCGAATCATATGGGTCCACATTTTTTTCAAAAAAATGATTCGAAATAATTTTGTAAAATCGATCAAACAAATTATTAAAAATTTTCATTCAACAAAAATCACCACCAACAACTTTAATAATAATGATAATAAACGTCTTGAATTGACATTGGCAATCATCAAACCACATATCTGTAATGATCCAAGTTGTTTACAAGAAATACGATCAATAATTGTAAAAAATAAATTTTTATTAATAAAATCTGCTCAGATTCATTTGACTCGTGTTCAAGCAGAATTATTCTATGAAGAACATAGAGGAAAATTTTTTTACGAACGTCTTGTTACTTTAATGACTAGCGGTGAATTATCTGTACATATTTTAGCTAAAATAAATGCAATACAAGAATGGCGTAAACTTATGGGTCCAACAAAAGTTTTTAAAACTCGTTTAGAACAACCGAATACGATTCGTGGTATTTTCGGTTTAACCGATACTAGAAATGCAACACATGGTTCTGATTCCACGGAAACTGCTCATCGTGAAATTGAATTATTTTTTCCAAAATTTTCCATACAAAATTGGTTTGAATATGAAGAATTTGAATGGCGAACAAAAAATGATTTTATTTTAGATAAAAAACAATGGATACATCGAATGAAAAATGAAAAATGTTAGCTGTGATATATCAATGAAATGAAATGAAAAAATAAAATTCATTTTGTTTCAAATAAAACTTTCGTTGGAACTTGATTAAAACCATCAATCGTATCGCCAAAATATGCTGTAATTGTTTTGACTTTATTGAAAATCATATTACGTTCTAATTCAACAACACGTGCTTGTTGTGTCGGTTGATTAGGATCAACATTATAAACAAGATCGGAAACTTTTTGCAATTCAATTTCATCAAAATTTCTTGGCAATAACATTATTATATTTTGTGTTAAATATTTTGATGTATGGCGACAAATGTCAAAACCATTCGGTATCATATGATTTAATGAAAATTTTTTCAATTTAATATAATCTGGTCCACCCCATGGTGGACTATAAAAACAAGCATCAATTATATCAGGAAAACGATTATGTTTGGTAAATTGAAAAAAATCACCACAAATAAATTCAATTTTTTTATCACATTCATATATACGAGCATTATGTTTGGCCATAGCAATTTTTTCCGGATCAATATCGATTGCATAAACTTTTCTTATTAATGGTTGTAAAGCGAATTGTATAATATTACCACCGGCACCACAAAATGGATCCATAACAATAAAACCTGCCATACTACGATCAGGATAACGTTTCGATAATGTATTCTGTAAACGTTCGGCAATATGTTTGGCAATAGATTCTGGTGTAACCGAATACCATGATTCTTTATCCAATCGAATACCTTGATTAAAACGTGAAAATAATATAAAACGTTGTCGCCAATAAATATTCCAACGAATTTTACTTTTTCTTCGGTTAGATTTTCTCTGTACTTTATTCGAATCATTATTCGTTGAAGGAACACTATTCGTTTTCATTATATCGATACCATCGGTATGATTAGTTTTTCTTTGATTGTTGTTGTTGTTATTGTTTACTTGCATATCTTGATAATCGTAGCTATTTTTTGCCATGAAATTAGTTGGAACTTCTTCGACCAGATCATCTTCATTTTCTTCCATTGAAGAAATATCCATATCTTCTTCTTCATCATCTTCTTGTAAATTTCCCAACAATTCTTCATCATTTGAATATTCATCTGAATAATATTCATCGATTATATCAGGCATTTCAACACTAACATTCGATTCAATAAAATGATGTTGAATTTTTAAATGATCTTCTTCTTCTTCATCATTATTTGGAAGATCATTTCCAGCAGAAACAATATTTTCAACATTAGAATCATCAAACGAACTGATTTGAAATTCATTCCAATTTTGTAACATACGATCGATAATCGAATTTCGATTTTTTCTCTTTTTTTTCTTATGAAATCTTTTCGATTTTGCGCTGGTAAATTGTGTTGGTAAACCAAGACGTTTCATCTCTAAATTTTCAAATAGATGTCGATTATTTTCATCTTCATTATGTTGAACTTTAGTTCTTGTCACAATTAAATCATTACGGTTTTCAGTTGTTTTCATTTCAGTATTTAATGAAAAATTTGACATGATCGAATTTCATCATCATCAAAATACTAATATGAGGTAGCAAATTCGAATCACGTGAGAATGTTTTTTTGGAAACTTTGCTCGATTTGATGAAAATATTACGAAAGATTGCACACAATGTGCCATGAAATTCATTCTTTTTTTTGAAAAATAAAATGACCAATGAGATTTTTCGGGAATTTGAAACATTTAAGACAAAGTTTTTGTTCAATGATTTCAACCAAAGCCACAACCACAAATGAATCCAATCCGTTGATTGTTATAATTGGTGCAACTGGTTGTGGAAAAACTAAACTTTCATTAGAATTGGCTAAACATTATAAAAATGTGGAAATTATATCGGCCGATTCAATGCAGGTAAAATTTGATCAAATTTTTTAATTACAAATTTGTTTTCAATGTTTTTTTTCAGATTTATAAAGGTTTGGACATTGCTACAAACAAAGTTTTACCAAATGAAATGGAACAAATTCCTCATCATCTTATCGATATGATTGATCCATTTCAACAGTTTACTGTTTTAGATTTTCAAAAGCTTGCCTTAAAATCTGTAAGTTTAAAAACAAAAAAAAAATTACAACAAATAATTTTTATTTATTTCAGATCGACCAGATTATATCGAAAAGAAAAATACCGATAATTGTTGGCGGAACAAATTATTATATTGAATCAATATTATGGGATACATTGGTCGGATCGAAAGAACAGAAAATTTCTGATGATAAAGAATTTAAAATAGAAACAGATGAAGACGGAAATTATTCGGAAATTTTAGCCAATGAAATTGAAACGATCAATGATTTATTACAAAAACAGAAATTAACATATAGAAATTTACGATCAATATCGAATGAAAAATTATATGAATTTCTTAAAGAAATTGATCCTGAATCTGCCAATACGTTGCATTTGCATAATCGAAGAAAAGTTATAAGATGTTTGCAGGTTTATCAACAAACAGGTCGACAAATGAGTCAGATTCTTAAAGAACAACGTTCACAAAATGGATCAAGACATGGTGGACCATTAAGATTTAAAAATTCAATAATTTTATGGGTTGATTGTGATAAACAAATACTTGAAAAAAGATTAGATGAACGAGTTGATCAAATGATTCGACAAGGTTTATTGAATGAATTATCGGAATTTCATCGTAATTNAGATTTATAAAGGTTTGGACATTGCTACAAACAAAGTTTTACCAAATGAAATGAAACAAATTCCTCATCATCTTATCGATATGATTGATCCATTTCAACAGTTTACTGTTTTAGATTTTCAAAAGCTTGCCTTAAAATCTGTAAGTTTTGTTAAGAAAAAAATTTGCAACGAATAATTTTTATTTGTTTCAGATCGATCAGATTATATCGAAAAGTAAAATACCGATAATTGTTGGCGGAACAAATTATTATATCGAATCAATATTATGGGATACATTGGTCGGATCGAAAGAACAGAAAATTTCAGATGATAAAGAATTTAAAATAGAAAATGATGAAAATGGAAATCATTCGGAAATTTTAGCCAATGAAATTGAAACAATCAATGATTTATTACAAAAACCGAAATTAACCTATAGAAATTTACGATCAATATCGAATGAAAAATTATATGAATTTCTAAAAGAAATTGATCCAGAATCTGCCAATATATTGCATTTGCATAATCGAAGAAAAGTTATAAGATGTTTACAGGTTTATCAACAAACAGGTCGACGAATGAGCCAAATTCTTAAAGAACAACGTTCACAAAATGGATCTAGACATGGTGGACCATTAAGATTTAAAAATTCAATAATTTTATGGGTTGATTGTGATAAACAAATACTTGAAAAAAGATTAGATGAACGAGTTGATCAAATGATTCGACAAGGTTTATTGAATGAATTATCGGAATTTCATCGTAATTATAATTCAAAACGTTTTGATGATGATAAAAAAGCTGATTACACTGAAGGTATATTTCAGGCAATCGGACTAAAAGAATTTCATAATTATTTACTAATGAATGAAGAAGAACGTCATTCGTATGATGGACAGCTTAAACTTGGTTATGGTATTTTAATGCTCAAACAACGTACTCGTTCATATGTAAACAAACAAAACAAATGGATACGACGACGTTTTTTAATATCGGAAAATATTCGTAAAGTTCCAAATGTTTATCGTTTAGATACAACAAATCTTGATGAATGGAATGAAAAAGTTCTTGATCATTCGATTTGGATTGTTGATCAATATTTACAAGCTTCAATATCAACACCGTCAAAATGTGAACAAATATTTCATTCATTAGATCAATTAGCGATTCGAAAAATGCCCAATTCTAATGATGATAATAATGATGAAAATGATTCATTTATATCTGGTCAATTTTATTGTGATATATGTCAGATTCGAATTAGTGGTGGTAAATCTTATCAAGAACATTTACAATCAAAAAAACATCGATATCAAATACAACAATCTAAATTAACAGTCTAAAAAAATTATTTTTATTTTATTTGGATTTCTATTGATTAAATATTAATTTTTAAAAAATTATTTTTTCTTTTTGCCTGTAGCAGTTAATTCTTCATCATCATCATTTTTACTATCCAATAATAATTTCAATTCTTTTTTATATTGCAATAATTCATAATCAGTAATATAACGTGTTTTTTCATGTAATTCATGATCATGTTCATGGATTGATAATTGAACACCAGCTGGTAATGATCGATGAACAACTTCCACCAATAATGACATAATACGTGAACTAATTTTTTCAATTTGAATATTTCTTTCATATAAATTCAATTCATATTCATATTGAACAACATTAGATTCATGTTGAAGTGTTTCAATTTTTGTTGTTGTATTTGGTGCACACCAATATTTCACTACTACCAATCCTAAACGATTGGATAAACGATGTAAATATGATCCATATGAATCCAATACTGCATAATCATGAGCTTTTATCTTTTGAAAAATATAATGTTAAAAAAGGTCGAAATTTACAACAACAACAAAAACAAACCTGAATATTGATTAGATTATAAAATGGAATCTGTGGTTTTAGATATTCCAAATATTCTGGTTCATGAATACCTTTCAAGCAAAAGGTTGATGCCAATCTTGGTTGTGAATATTTAATCGGTGTTAAATTTGAAACAATATTCAGGCCACGGAAACCAAATTTTCGAAACATTATTGCTAAATTCATCATATGGATAAAAAAATTTTTTTCGGACAACAAATTCAGAATATTTCCCGAAATGATAAAATTTTTTAAGGGAAATTTTTCAGTAAAAAAATCATTTTTTTCAAAAAGTTTTTTTTTTGAAAAATTTATTTTTAATCATTTTTTTTTGCTTAAACAACGTGAATTTTTTGTAATTAGACTTTTTTTTGAACAAAAACAAGAAATTTTTTAAAAAAGTGAATTTAAGGAACTTTTGCAAAAAAAAACAAGTGCACTCTTTAAAATTTTTTAGTCTTTTGATATAGATTTAAACTCTTAGATTAAAGCAACTGAAACTACGGATGCCAGATCATTTTCATTATTTAGTTTTGTTGATTGACTGTTGTTTTCATTATTGTTGACTAGATCTTGCTGTGCCATCATTGTATTTGTTGTAGCAGAAACATTACCGAAAACCGAATCACGAAATGAAAATGATTTACGAGATGCTGCACGAATTGTTTGATTAAAATATCGGGAAAAATTTCCCGAATCATTTTCTTTTTTCTTTGTCGCCAACTGTGAAATATGAGACGGTGATTTTGTAACGTTTTCATGACTCGATTGCATATCTGTTGGGCAAATAAATTTCAGGATATAATCGGTCAACAAAGCCGGTACAGCCGGTGAATCATCCAACATGGCTTTAAGAACTATATTAAAATGAAAAAATTTTTATTTAATTCAAATCGATCTCGTAAACACTTACTTTTTATCAATGTTTGTAATGCTTGAATATTATTTGTAAATTTCATATCTTTACAATAAGGTATTACAGTGGTTAGATAACGATGTTTACGATATCGTTGTGCTTGTTGTTGATTATTACCATATTTTTTATAAAAATCTTTACGACGTTTTTGAATTTTGACCAACAATGAAAGAAAAACACTTTTCAATTCTTTTTCATATTCAAGTTCATCACGTTCAGCCAAACGATTAATCAATTCTTGTGAATGTTTTTGTGTTTTTCCTTCCAGATCTTCGCATAAATCTTGTAATTGATCCGATGAAAATGTTTTCAATTTGTCCAATGAAAATCGATAATATGCTGAACGAAGAATTATCGGTACATAATCGAATGATGCGATCGATGATGATCTTGAACAACGTGATGAAGAACTGTATTGAGAATTCAAATCCAAATTGGAATTTGGAATAGATTTTCCTGTAATGATATCATCGATTTCTTTTAGAACTTGTTCGGCTGTTTCAATTGAATTTTGTTGTCCATGATCGATTTCCAAACATAAATCAATCAATTCTTTTAATTTCGAATCTCCATCATCGACATTCTCATTGGATTCGTTATCTGAAATTGTTTTTAACGATTCAATGATTTGATCATCAGGAGATAGTTTTTCCCAATCGATTGGAAGTATGCCACCATAATTACCGGTTAATGTCCACCAAGCACTATGAATAAAATTATTTAGCGATTAGTTTTATGATTAAGGGTTTACTTACGGTCTATTCTGGATGACTTCGTCAATGGTTCGCATCTGAACTGGTGCAAGTTTATCAACATTTTCATCATAATTTTTCAAACAACTTTTAACTTTTTCATCAAAAGAATTGACCAAATCTTCTAATGATGTTGATAATGAATTTTGATCACGATTATTATCAATATTATCAAAATCATCATCATCAGTCATTTTAAAAATTGTCATTTCATCCGATTCTTCGGTCTTTACATCAGGTGTTGAACATAATAATAATTCATTATCTTCATGATCTGCACAATTATTCATCGATGTTAAATTTGTTGAAAACTTATTCGATGATGAAGAACTGGATGATGGAAGACTAGTATTGATCATATCTAAATCAGCAATCGAAGAACGTTTTGATGATGATAATGATGTTGAACTAAAAAATCCAGTATCAGTGCCAAAATCTTCAGTATCGGTCATATTTGTCACATGATGATGTGTCAATGGTGTTGTTGGTGTATTCAAATCACTCATTGGACTTATCGATTGATAATGATGATGATTATTATTATGATGAAAATTCCATTCACTTGATTCGTATGATCGTGATGATCGTAACATTAGTTTTGTGGAAGAACATTCATCTTTAATGTCTTTTGATTTTGTGTTATCATTATCACCATCACCATCATTATCACCATCATCATCAACATCTTCATCTATTGAAGCCAATGGAATATTTACGGCATGAAAATTGGAAATTTTTTCCATTTTGTTCCAGCCAAATCTTATAAACAAATATAAGCCTGCAAAGAGATTCTATGGAATCTTTCGAGAGTTTTTTTTTGGAAATTTGCAATTTATCTTGTTGTTTTTTCCTGTTCTTGTTGATTGATTGAAGTTTATGTTGTTGTTGTTGTTGTTATTGTCGATGAAAAATGATGGATCCTAAACACTGAACACTGAGTTTTGTTTTCACTACTATGAATTTCTTCACAATAAAAACAAACAAATACCCGCAATACGGTTGTAGCTGCGGTTTTTTTTTCTTTGCTGCAGGATATTGGATTCGATACAAACTGACTATATAGCTGGATTCATATTTCACTTCGTTTTTTTTCTTGGATCTAGTCGATTTGATGATTTTATTAGGTGAAAGTCATTCTGATGAGAGAAGAGAGAAAAAAATCTCCACTTTACAAACCAATTATTATAATCATCAGAAAAACTATTTTATGATTCATTGTCATCATCGTCATTCTAAGGGCAAAATAAGAGATAATGAGAATGTCTGCTGACGTAATTTGATATAAGTAGTGTATATATAGTCGAACCGGAATGAAGATGATGAATAACTAACAAAACAAAACAAACAGACAAACTGAATGTAAATGAATTGGGTAAATGGGTCAGAAAATGAAAAAAAGCTAACGAAAGAGACACGAATGGACCATAGTAAATAATAACTTGTTCGAAGTTTTGTTTGAATTTTTGTATTGTATGTGTAGATATAGGGTGTCAAAGTTTTTTGTTTTATTTACAACAAATGAAATCATTATGAGAATTTCCGAATGATGACAATCATTCGATAATTGATTGATGATAGACAAAAATTAATGATGATGATGATGATGAAAATAACTTTATCGTTAAGTTGATGATTTATCGGTTCATCTTTTACATACAGTAATGAAAATGAAAAACAAAACAAGACAATTGACATTGTCATGGATGAATGATTCAAAAAAAAAAAAAAAAATTCAACCCGTTGATTAAACAATCAATTTTTTTTTTTTTTTTCGTTTCGTTTTTTTTTATAAAAAAGATATTTACATTTCGAAA